TACTCAAGGAGAAGAATAAAACTGGGCTTGCTTTACGTATTCTCAAGAAGCCTCAATGTGGACTTAAGTATGAAGCCAACAGATATTAGAGTCCCAGCAGGAGGCTTCTGTTGTAACAATACATGTACAGCTATCAAACTCTACCCACAGAAGTTCTGATTCCATATAGCTAGGATGGGACCCAGGAATGTGTATTTTTTAAATGTTGCATAGGTATTCTGATGTCTCACTGCCCTCCTGACCCTTTCCCCAAGTGAGAACCATCAAGCTAGAGCCAATGATCCATAAATGTTTTTAAAATAAATGTTTTGTCCTGGTCGGTGTGGTTCAGTTGGTTATAGCATCATCACCCTGTGCACCAAAGGGTCACAGGTTCAATTCCCAGTCAGGGCATGTAAGGCAGGCAACAAATCGATGTTTCTCTCTCACATTGATCTCTCTCTCTCTCTCTCTCTCTCTCTCTCCCCTTCTCCTGCTCCCATCCCCCTCCCCCTCCCCTTCTCCCTTCCTCTCTAGAATCGATGAAAAACATATCCTTGGGTGAGGATTTCACAAAATGTAATTAATTAATTATTAATTAATTAAAAATAAATGTTTCTCTACTACCAAATAGATGGATTAAAGAATCTCAATACTAATACCTGGGCTCAAACACTGAGCAAAAATTGAAATCAGATTTACTGCCAATTTTTTTCTCCTCCATGAAACTCACCTACACAAACTCTCACAGAGTCACATGTTAAAAGGCTCAAAGTACCACCATATAATTAGATAGGAAAAAACTGTACAAGAAAATGAGAGAGAAAAAAGGTGTGTGTGTGGGGGGGGGGGGAAGGGGGCGGGGAATATGAGAATTAATTAAACTCAGATTCATAAAAACTGATAACCAAAAGCAAGCTGCAAGTTGCCTTGCCCATTGTTTCCAGAAGGGATGATATATAACCCAGACTGGATTAATGGCTATTAAGGAGGAGGAGAATTTCAAAACCTCCTTCACTTACTTTTTCAAAATCTAACAACCCTCCAGCATAGGCAATGCTTTTGTATCCCTAACTTAAATCTTGCCTGCTCAGCTTCAGTCCATTTCTATCCTTTGTTAAAAGAGAAAAACAACCCAGTTCCCTTCACATACAAATCTTTCAGAAACTTCAAAAAAAGAGGGGGAGGGTTAGCTATCAAGAACACACATTTACTTCTTAAGGAAAATACAGCCTTAAGCCCTAACCAGTTTGGCTCAGTGGATAGAGCGTCGGCCTGCGGACTGAAAGGTCCCAGGTTTGATTCTGGTCAAGGGCATTAAAATATATATATATCCTCAACTGAGATGAGAAGTAGAAGGGATAATTAATTGTACAGGGCTCGAAGTTGAAGGATGTTTACAACTGGTAACTTTACACTTCATCAAGACCCAGCAGAAAAGGCATAAAACCTCAAATTACTTCCAATCCTATTATACTGCAGAGAATTCCCTTCCTTAGAGAAGTGTTTTAAAATCCCAGCTCTCATCTGCTCTCTCTCTAATAATTTAAATACTCATCTCTACAGCTCTCACTTCAGCTTTTAGCTGTATTTTAAACATCTTTTAAAAATAGGTCTCTCCTTAATTAAAAAGCCTTTCATGAGCACCACTTTCTGCATATATGTACTTTCCTGTCTCTTTCATGCCCTCCACACCTACCTAGGCTGCATCTCTACTTCTTTTTCAACATTTTGATTTCTCTTCTAAAGAGGTCACACAACTCCTCCTGATCATTTCCTATTCTTTTAGAATTCCAAATTTATCCCTACCATATTTGACATCTTTAAATTTTTCTCATCCATTTAGTATTTACTGCATATCTTACACAGTACAGTGTGATATAAAGGAAATAAAGAACATTACACCTGACCTTTGGAAATGAAGACATACATAAAAGAATAATTGGTTCCAAGGTAGGGGGGGGTGGGGTGGGGACGACACCCTAGTCAGAAAAGGCCTTATGACTCCAGTAAATACAGAATTGGACCTAAAAAATAAGTGGAGAGTTTAGTGAAAAGGCTACTTTAGATAGAAGGAACAATATGATTCAAAGCTGCAGGCCATCTGAGGTAAGAACTACATAAAGGCCCTCTGTCACTTCCTTCTTTGCTCCCCGCCCCCCAAAAGGCATAGGTCTTGGCCTTCAAATTTTATGTCAGAGTCTGTTGTCCATGAATCACAAGCTCTCTGAATGTTACTGTGTTTACCCACAGCCACTACACATTAGAGCAGCTAACAAAGCTTCATACGCCAAATCTTATGTGGGTTACCACAAGGCAGGCTTTCAGAATCATCTTAGGTAGAGTCTTTAATAAGGAGTGTGAGGAGTCAGATACCGTGCAGTCCTAAGCCCACAAAGACAGCTACTACTTTTGGGTGCTAAAAATATGCGCGAGTACTCTTGCTCTGTCAGACCACTGAAGGGTCTTTCAATGTCAGCTAAGTATTTCCTTTATTCACAGCTCTAGAACAAACAGAGTCTGAAGCACTGCCATGGCCATGTGGCTCAGCTGGTTGGAGCATCGTCCCGTACACCAAAATGTTGCAGGTTTGATTCCTGGTCAGGGCACAGACCTAGGTTGCAGGTTCATTCCCCAGGTTGGGGTATATACAAGAGGCAAATAATCAATGTTTCTCTCCCCCCCCTTCCTCTCTCTCTAAATATCAATAAAAACATATCTGCAGGTGAGGATTAAACAAAAGAAAGTCTGAAGTACTGAATTTCTATTTGAAACAGGGATTTTTTTCACTGCTTTCCTGGAGAGCTTCTCTTCTCCTCCTCTTGCCTCAGGACTCACAGTTCAAGCATCCCTTCCTCTGTGAAGTCTTTCCTAATTCCCCTTAGGTTCCCGCCCCTATGCTGCCATTACCACCTTTTGCATACTTCTAGGGCACCACTTACCACACCATGTTGTAATTATTTGTCTACAAGTCAAACAAGCCACAAGCTCTTTGATGGCAAAGAATGTTTTACTCATCACTGATTCCACACATAATAGGTACAATAAATATTTGTTGAATGCATTAATAATGAACAACATGGGAAGTTTTAAAGAATGATGATCATATCTTCTGGATCGCAGACAAAAATTACAGTAATTATTAACACTGAAGACTAAATTTCTATCATACATTTATACTACCTAAACCATTCTCAGTCAGAAAAAGAGGCCAAAGTTATGAGAAAATTGCTCTACTAGTGCTGGTCATTGCCAAGTTACCAATCAAGAATACAAGTGTTTGTAGCACTAAGAATGACCCAACACAAAAAATGAATGAACAGAATCAACTCAAGAAAGTTTCTAAGTTTCTGGCCCATTCTGCATCTGGAGAATATGAACAATTAATAGAGTCCTTGGAAAAGTCACTATCTTCACTGCCAAGGAACCTTGTAGCCAATTTCGATTTAACTTTTTAAAATATATATATGTTTTTTTATTTTTTATTTATTTTTTATTGACTTCAGAGAGGCAGGGAGAGGGAGAGAGAGACAGGAACATCAATGATGAGAGAGAATCATTGGCTGCCTTCTGCAAGCCCCCTCCTGGGGATCGAGCCTCCAACCCAGGTATGTGCCCTGACTGGGAATCAAACGTGAACTCTTGGTTCATGAGTCAATGCTCAATCACTGAGATACACTGGCCAGGCCCAATTTTTATTTAATATGACCTCTGAGAAATATACAGAAAAGCTGTTCACCTTCTGACTAAATTCAAGTAAGGTTCTGCTAAGGGACAGCTTTCTGAACTAAGTCCTCCCAGAACCCTGACACGTTGTATATTAGCACTCTCAATCATTTCTCAGTGGCTTTACTAATCTCTGAAGAGATACAAGGCAGTAAAACGCTGTGGTCTCAAATGCCTCTCCCTGTAGCAATCCTGTACCACACAAGGCTACTACTCTGTTTAAACAATGCTAATATACAAAGGTCTAATCTAATCCTGTGGGAACAAAGCCCTAGATTCCCTCAGGGATTCAATAAATGTAGCCAACTTTTCTATTTTCAAAGTTGTGGGCCTCACCACAGTTGAAGAAAACATCAAGGCCAACACCCACACAACTGAGTGGATGCAGGGACGTGGCCTCTGAGGAACTGGGCAGCAGCAGGGTGGCATGTGGCTCTTGGCATATAGTGAATGAAATAGCAACGTTCAAGAGCAAACCAGAACTGTTTTGCTGTTATCATTCCTAAGAAGTCAAGAAGCTCCGGTTAAATTAATTTAGGTTTCTTGAAGAGACAAATAAATATGTTTTGACCCCAGGCAAGAGCATTTGCCAAGCCAATTCCTCAGACTAGGTGTTCTAGCATATTTCTTTCCTTTTTTTAATTTTAATTGGTTTTAGAGAGGAAGGGAGAGGGATCGAGAGAGAGAAACATCAATGAGAGAGGAACACTGTCAATTGGCTGCCTCCTGCATGCCCCCTACTGGCGGGCAAGCCCTCAACCCCCGGCATGTGCCCCGACCAGAATCAAACTGGTGATCTTTTGGCTCCTGGATCGACACTCCACTGCTGAGCCACACCAGCCGGGCAGTTCTAGCATATTTCTTTATGCTACTACTGTCTTACGTAACCCAGCTATGGCACTAACACTTGCAGCTACATTAGTCACAGCTTAGCCCTTCCCGGGAGATGGGATCCCACTACTCTCTCCCAAGAAGGGAAACGGAGTCACAGCACATCACCTGGCTTCCCCGAGCACAGACGTGGTCTGTAGTGAATTGAATCCAGGTTGCCTTCCTCCCAATCCTTTTTCCATGAACGCATCTCAGCACGCCCATCCCTGCTGCTATTTCTCCTTTAACCTAACACTAAACCATTGCTTTCCGGAAGGGCAGAGACGGGCACACTTGATCCTTGGGAGCCACAGGACCGTCTAGTTCTCCTCTTTCCCCAGAAAGAGTTAAGGTGAGAGAGGAACACGGAGCAAAGGAGGGGAGGGGAGGGCTGGGGAAAGGCGGCTCCCGGGAGGAGGACTCACCTTGGAGCTGAGGTCCTCTCGCCGGCCGCCTGCCTTGCTCCGGCGTAGTTTGATGGATGGGGATCGCAGCAGGTTCTTGAGCCGGCTGGTAATGGTCGACCCCTCCACGGCCATCATGGTGCGGAGTCCCTGGGCAGTTCCTGGCACACCCTGGGACCTGCCTCAACAGCAGCGCTGCCTGTCCACTCCACAGGGTCTCCCCGTCTGCGCTCTCGCTGGCCTGAGACGGCGGGAGGCCACCTTACCGGCTGCCCGGCAGCGTCTGCCGCGCTCACCTCCGGGCAGTGCTCTTCACCCACATTCCCGCCTGCACACCCGGCGCGGCTCCCTAGGCCCGTGCCTGCCGGGGGCGTTGGAACGGGAGGAGGGACGGGCCCCCGTAGGGTCGTACCTGCTAGCTGGCCCGGTCCCCGTTAATGCCCAACAGTCCCCATGGCAATTGCAGCGTTCACGGCAGGACGCCGCCGCCGCGGCCACCGGACGCCTCGGGGGCCTGGGGACCTGCGCCAGCGGCCGCAGGGCACTCGGCACCGCGGGGCTCGCCGTGGCCCGGCCACCGCTCTGCCCCTGAGCCTCCCGCCCCCGCCCGACCCTCGGGAGCCCTCCACGGGGGCCCTGGACCTTCCTCTTTCCCCTCCCTCAGCAGCCCCGGCTACTCGCCAGCGCCCCCGCTCGGACCCAGCCTCACCAGCCCCGGGGCCCGGGGCCCGCCACGCTCACAGCGCCCTCAGGCATCGCGCTCGGCGATTTCAGCTCCGCGGCCGCAGCGGCGGCAGCAGCTATGGCGGCACAAGCGGCTCAAAACGCGAAGTAGCGCCGAGGCCCAGCTCCCGCCGAGGCAGGCGGAGCGGAGGCGAGAGGGTGCGGTCTGCAGCCGAGGGCGTTCCTGGAGCGAACGAATAAGGTGTGTGGGGCGGAGCCCGTGGGCGGGCGAGGAGGCCGGGACCTGCGACTCAGAACCGCGATCCGGCGCGTCGTCGTGGCGGGTATCCCTCCTGGAGAAAGGTCGGCACAGCTCGGCTTCGGAATGGAAAGAGCCAAGCCTTTTATGGCGTGAGGAGGCCTGGTTCCCCGGGAGAGTGCACTCCCCAGAGCCCCAAGACGGCAACTACGCCCCAGCGGTGCCAAGGTTGGCATCTGATAGGCCCGAGGGACCGGAACCGAAACGAACTCCTCGCTCAGAATTACAGAACTGAGACACAGCCATAGGCTCTGCTCCGCATCGACCCCAAGCGCTGGGACTCCGAGCGGTTACAATAGTTGTTCGCCGCCACCCGCGCGGCGCGTTGACCTACGTGGAGATGACTCTGGAGCAGCGGTCGCCAACCGGGTGGTCCGCGGAACACCGGGGGTCCGTGAGGTCCGAAAGGTTGACGACCGCCGCTAACGTTTTCGATTGCTAAGAAGTGTTACTAACTGGGCAACCTAATTGGCCATGTTGGAAGAAAGGGGAGGGAGAGGATTGCCTTGGATAGGGCGTTGGGCATGTGGGGGAGGAAAAAGAAAAGTATATGTTCCTATGAGATATTTGTTTCAAGGTTTCTTTAACCTTCCATGTCCCATCGCGCTCTCACCACGAGTTAACCAGGATTTTGTTGCTCCAGTGCTTTTCCTTATTCCTATCAAAATCCACTCGTAAAACTTTCCCCCTATTATTGTACTACTTTGGTGAGGTCATTGTCAAGCTTGCTGACTAGTTGTAGTATAGTTTTAGCTTTTGCTCATGGGAGTTGAGGGCGTGCACAGAAATAAAATAACTTTACAGTATGATTCCACAGGTGTCTCTGCATTGAGTTTATTTTCTAGGAGTCTTTCTGCCTCGTTACTACTTCAAGAAATTGCCTTATGAAAAGGTAAGCCTAAGCCAGAGAAATAGTACGTACGAAGCATTTGTCTCAACCTATCCAGATCCTTGGAACACTTGGACACGTAAGAGTGAAGAACCCCTAAACCCTTTATATGCAAGGCACTGTAGGACAGCTGAGGGTGGGTCTTGTACAGCCAAGTAGCAAAATAGGTATGTCCTTGCGTGCATTCTACATAAAATCAAGGCTGTTAGGTATGTACTTGTGTGTACTCTAATCATGCATTAAAAACAAGATCTGTAAAGCTCACAGATCAAGCAGTGGCCTCCTAGAAGACGAATTAGCAATAGCTACCAGAGGCATGAGACTTCCCTTACTCTTCGACCATGCATTGCAGGTGTAATGAAATTGTAAAATGATATTCACATATTCCCCAAATCTGGAGGAAGAAGACAAGAGTCGGGAAATGGGAATTGGTCCATTTGACTCCTTGCTAGTCTGTCATTTTACAGTGGTAGGAGCCAATGTAACACTAATAAATGGTGCCACCTGGTGTCCTTACTTGTGTGCTGCATTCCCAACAATGGCCATAGAAGTGGTCCCTATTTCTCTCCAGATCACTTTTGTGTCCACTAGTGGTTTTCTCACTCATGGCCAAGTAAAATGGGTTTACAGAGTATCATTGGTCATTCCCTGCCCAGCGCTACACTGGTTTATCTCCTTAGAGAAAATGTTTCCCAAATTACTCTCATCTGAAGCTGAAGTTACAGAGGCAAATTCAAGCTCTGCTTTTCAATGTCTAAGATTATCTAGCTGAAAAGCAACTTACTGTAAGTTCAGATACTTCTAGCCTAGAGCCAAAACCACATTTATCTTTAATTCTTCACAATTTAGTCAAACCTTTATTGTCTAGGTACGTACCAGGAAGCCTTTGAAGTGCCAGTATGTGAACAGGGCTGTTCTCAAGCTTCATGAATTCCTCAGAAAATAATAGTCCCAGGTCCAGTGGAATAGAAGCCTTATTCCTCTTTTCTCCAAGTTAAATACTTGCCACCCCACCCTTCACAATGCAGTTGACCATTCACACACTATTTCACTTTTTATTCTGGTTGTGTATGTCCTAAATATGTATATAGTTGTCACTCTTAAAAAGGTGCCTAAGAAAAGATGTATACACTTGTCTGTTTTGCACTATGCTCATTAGACCAGATTTTAAAAATTCAGCCTAGATTTAACATGCCAATAGGTGCACTTATAAGATCATTGAAAACTAGCAAGCTACAGTAACTTGCTCACCAATTCAAATATTTATTTAGCACCTTAATATGCAAGGCACTGTAGGACAGCTGAGACCAATGCTTGCAGTTGGAAACAGGATGAAACTCAAAACAGTGCTTCCAAGACTGCATTCCTACTTAAACTCTAAGAGCAGAGTTTACTAGAGTGAATTTAGTAGAGCTTAGATTTGTCTCAGAATTCCCAAGTCAACTCAGTTTTTAACCATCTCATCATATTCCACACACACTTGCATCACTATTACTCAACATTTATATCTTTCGTAGTTCAAATTTAATATACAATTATACCTCAATTCAAGTTACATATATATATCAAAATTCTAATTTCAAAAATGCATTTTTGACCATTTTGTTTCCAAATGGCAGTGAGGCCATGTACCTCATCTTTAATTTTCTCTGCATCCAGCCATTCATGTTCATGTAAAATTTTATTGGACACTAGAGGCCTGGTGCACAAAATTCATGCACGGATAGGGTCCCTAGGCCTGGCCGGCAATCAGGGCCAATTGGGGTCTCCCAGCTGCCAGCAGGGGCCTTCCTTCATTCTGCGCCACCCCCTGGTGGTCAGCACAGTCATAGCGAGTGATCTAACTCCCAGTCTTCCAGAACTCCCCAGGGGGCACTTTGCATATTAGATAAATATATATAGACTAGAGGCCCAGTGCACAAATTCATGCACCAGTGGGGTCCCTCGACCTGGCCTGTGGGATCAGGCCAAAACCTGCTCTGACATCCTGAGGGGTCCCGGATTGCGAGAGGGCGCTGGCCAGGCCAAGTGACCCCACTGGTGCATGATTTGGGCCGGGGAGGGACACGAGAGGTTGGCCAGCCAGGAAGGGACCGCAGGAGGGCTCCAGGGTGTGTCCGGCCTGTCTCGCTCAGTCCTGATCAGCTGGACCCCAGCAGCAAGCTAACCTAAGTCAGAGCATCTGCCCCCTGGCGGTCAGTGCATGTCATAGCGAGTGGTTGAGCGGCCTTAGCATATCATTAGCATATTACGCTTTGATTGGTTGAACGGCCGACCAGAAGACTGGACACTCAGCATATTAGGCTTTTATTATATAGGGTAATACATTAAATATTGATGCTTTTACAAGTACTTGCTTCAAAATCAGCAATTTTGTGCAAGAAATGTATTCTGATTCTTGGTTATCATTCTCTATAAAAAGTACCTGAAAATGTGCCTACTCTGTGCAATGCTTTTTTAAAAATCTTCTGGGAAGAATAAGGGTTATCATTTGTAGACCCATCTTCAAAGTGCATTTATCTCTCAATTCACCTGACACCATTCCATTAGACCCGGGGTCGGCAAACCGCTGCTCATGAGCCACATGCGACTTTTGCCCCTTGAGTGTGGCTCTTCCACAAAATACCACGTGCGGGCGCGCACGTACAGTGTGATTGAAACTTCGTGGCCCATGCACAGAAGTCATTATTTTTGTGGAAGAGCCACACTCAAGGGGCCAAAGAGCTGCATGTAGCTCACGAGCCGCGGTTTGCCGAGCTGCAGTTTGCCAACCACTGCATTAGACTATCTCAACCAGTATAATTAGGGAGGTGGGAAGAAATTATACTACTGAACTTCCCAAATAACATATGGATTGTCTGCCTTCTGTATTCAAAACATTTTCAAACACTACTGAAAGGCCTACTGTCGGGTATTTCATCCATAATTCTGGGAAAAAAGACTTGCATTTACTATAAAATTACACAACGTAATTTGTTTATATAACTGGACTTGATCTGTGACCTAGAGTCATTCAATCTAAAGGATTCCTTTAATAAAAACATTTTTATAAATCATGATACTAGTTTACATATATCTTAATTTAAGATCTATTGTGTCCTGGCCAATGTGGCACAGTTGGTTAGAGTGTCATCCTACCATACACCAAAAGGCCGTGGGTTCTCTCTCCCTTCCACTCTCTAAAATCAATTTAAAAACAATTTTTTAAAAGATCATCTATTGTCCTTACCTGATAAGACGGTGTTTATGTCCTGTTATTACCAACGGTAATGGGCATATTACCCTCACACACATCGGTATTATGAGGCTAGTCTTTCTTCACTGTAGAACAATTTCTTGATATATACTTGCCGTCAAGTTGGACAAAATTTTGAAGTCTCCATGTAAAACATGCTTCAAGAATTAGAACACCAAAATTTCCCCAAATGGCATGTCAAAAATTTTGAAAACAGTAAGGAATTCCTTATGATAAACCTACTTCAGTGGCACCTCTCTCAAATATG